GTCTAATTATTTGGCCCAGCCCACTATTACATTTTATTAAAATATTTTAGCCCATAAGTCCAGGTCTCTATCAGAATAATTAAACACATAATGGTAAAGTTGGAAGTTGAAACAAATATACATTTGAACCATGTAATAGAAGACATATATATGCATACCTGATACCCTTTATGTCCAATAGTTGAGAGTATATACATAGTACGTACTACGTAGTATATGTTATCTATTATCTCCGTTCCACTAACATTGGGATATGAGGAGGTGATGCGATTATTAAGAAAAGTGAGTTCATGTGATTGATATTCAATTGAATAAAGTAAGAATGATTTAGAGTCACACAAACTTTCCAAGACAATCTTAGTAGGACGGACCAAAAAGGAAAGATGGGACAATCTGAGCGGGACGGTGGGAGTATTTTATAGTTCAAGAGTATATTTATTTTAACTTTAGTTTTTTTTGTATTTAATTGTTGTTGGTAGCCTTTGCGGCCCTAGGGTAATGTTGTTGTTATTGTTGTTGTTGTAATTGTTTCAAAAAAAAGTTGAGGGGCATTTTTATTCTTTATTCGTATCAAGATATTACTCATTAGTCATAACTACCCACAATATATTAACATGTAGTACATGTATCACAAATTTTATAAGTTCGTACTTCCTACCCTTATTGCAAGTTGTAAGGTTAGAGACTCAAGCTCCAAACCTGATGTGCTCTTGGGTTTATTTGGCTTATTTAAATTTAAAAGTTATAGTGGGGTAGGGAGTGGAGCAATGGTATATAATTGAGTTTATTTTAGCTAAAACTGATTATTCTGTTTATTTGTTTATTTGCAGCTGAACAGTCCAGACCTTTTTGACATGTATTCTGCTGGGATAGTTCTCCTGCAAATGGCTATACCGAGCTTCAGGTCCCCGCCAGGTCTGAAAAGGTTCAATATGGAGTTGAGACAAGCGGGATACGAGTTAAACACATGGAGGGAAAGGAGCAGGTCAAGGCATGATTTAAGCATTCTTGATCTAGACTCCGGAAGAGGGTGGGATCTTGCCACTAAGCTCATTTCGGAGAGGGGTCCGCTGAGAAGAGGACGGCTGTCTGCTTCGGCTGCTTTGAGGCATCCTTACTTCTTGCTAGGTGGTGATCAAGCAGTCGCCTTCCTTTCCAAATTCGGCTTCACTAAGTAGACACTTCCAACACGAGGAGTGAAAAAATCTAAGACATGTAAATTAGTAAAGCGTCTTGTTCATGTTATGAGTCTATGACCATCAATCTGACCTTAATTTTTTTTGGCTGGCGACCTTGTTTTATTTAAACTCTTTCCACCGTAATTTTGGTTAATTCATTTGGGTAAACATCTTCGAGGAGTCAAGCTAACATACTATGGGTCTTCAGAAAGGTAAAAAACTAACACATAAGGACTGTACATATTTTTTTCTATATGGGTTAGGTAATAGTTAATATAAATTAGGAATCCTTAGTATTTTGGCAATTACTCTTTATTATAAATATATTTGTCAGGATCCTCATTACGGTAACCTGTTCCATTTCCTGTATCCTAACAAATACACTCTGTCCAAACCCTCCACCTTTGTTGCCTAGTAGTCCTGCGTCCATTTTCCCATAGACATTGCCATATTCCACACCGAGCCACGTGTCTATTGCCCATGAACCCACCCCACCTGTCCTCTCCCAACACCGCACTGCCGTTTTCATCACCCTTCAACCAGCCACACAGCCCACTCGACCCGCTATTTCCCTCACCTCTAGAAGCCCCAGGCCCCCAGCCGAACCACCAGCCTCCTCTCTTCCCGCTGCATCCACAGTAGAACAGTCCTCCACCTCGACTTCTAGCCCTTCCATGGCCTCGGATATATCCTCTGCCCCCTAATTAATGTTCATCCTAATCCTATGCAGACTAGGGCCACGGAATGTTTAAACCCAAAACTATTTTTAATTCACAAACAATTGTGACTCCAACTGATCTCACTTGTTTTTCTGAGGCACATAAACAATTAAAAGGGCGATAGGCCATGTCTGATTGATTTAATGCTCTTATCATTAATAATACTTGGGATTTGGTCCCGTTTGACAGCTCTAAAAATGTTGTTGGGTCTAAGTGGATTTATAAAACTAAATTTCACTCTGATGGTTCTATTGAGCGCCATGAAGCGCGTTTAGTTGCTCAAGGGTTTAATCATTAAGCCCACATGTTCGTATTGTTCTTACACTTGCTATTTCTTTTGGATGGGCCATGCGTTAGTTAGATGTAAAAAATGCTTTTTTCCATGGTCACCTCACTGAGGAAGTGTACATGCGTCAACCACGGAGTTTTGTTCATCCTTCGTTCCCTACTCATGTGTGTCGATTACGTAAGGCTATTTATGATACTCTCTTTCTCACTGATGGTGAACTCCTAACAGATGCGACTGAGTATCGCATTATGGTAGGTGCATTACATGCAGTATTTAACTGTGACACGACCTGATATTACGTATGCAGTTCATTTAGTGTCTCAGTTTGTGCATGCTCCTCATACTGCTCATATGCTTGCAATCAAGCGCATTTTCATATATTTACAGGGTACTATTGATCATGGATTATGGCTCCAGTCCTCTCTACTAGAACATAGTATAGTTTGACATATTCTGATGCTGGTTGGGCTGGCTGTCCAGATAGTTCTCGCTCTACCACCGGATTTGCTGTTTTCTTGGGTCCTAATCTTGTCTCTTGGAAGTCCAAAAAGCAGCCTACTGTGTCCGAATCTTCTACTGATGCTTAATATTGTGCCATTGCCTACACTGTTCAGGACACCATTGATGTGCTTGTATTTTACACACTTTTTAGGCTTAGTTTGTTAATAATTTTGGTCACTTAATTTGTATATTTGTACATATTTTTATTATTTATCGTTACTTTGTACGATATGTAGTTCTATGCATGTATTTTGTATTTTCAGGTACTTTTGATACTATTTGATACATTTGTGTGTGAAGAGAAGAAGAAAATGAAAGTTCCAGTTAAAAGTAGAATTTCAAGCAAATGAGTAAATTGAAGAAAAGAGGCAAAAAGTGAAAGAAATAACATGGAGCAAGGGTTTGATCCTTGGTCACTTGGAAAAGGAAGGGCAAGCTCAACCAATGAGCTAAATGTCAAAGTTGCAAAGGTTTAGCTGGAGCTTATTTTAACTCCTTTCAACTGCAGCAAGAAAAGACGAAAAAAAACGTCAATAAATGGGTTCAAACACGGGACCTCAGAGTCCTAGAAGCATTCCTCTTCCACTGCGCTGCTACGGATTATTGATACTTGGACGCGTTTTCTTGTACATATACTCTTCGGTTCCGTAAATTCCAACAATTAATGATTAATCACCTTATCATTATATTGCCTTAATCCATCCCCCTCCACACATAATCTCGAGCCAACTTCTCTCTACACCTCCCAGAATCATTTCCTCCTCCTTCTCTCTTCATTCTTCATCTCCAAATCATCAACCAATCTTCAACATCAATTAATCACTTTCTCAATCAAGATTAAAGTCAAGATTAGCACCAAGCTCCAAGGATTGTCATCTATCACAAGTTTGATCTTCCTTATCTCTTTAAATCTTGTACTTCAATCATGAATTCATCTATTTCTAAGCTTCCCAACATGTATAGCTAAATAAATTTGGGGCTAGAAATTGGTTAATTAATTGTTCTTATCATGTTTTAATTTGTATTGATTTTAATTGTTAAGTTTGTTCTATTTAGATTGTTGTGTCCATAAAATTAATTATGTTATGTTTGTGATATATATTATGAGTACTCAATCATAAACATATTGTTTGTTAAATACACAAATGAACACTTTCTGAACACACCGTTAAACTTCTTTTACCTTGTCCCGGATTGAAGTTTTACGGGAGAATTTAATTATTTAATTATATTATTTACACCACGGGGTTGGGTAAATAATATAGTTAATAATTAAGGTTGTCGTTGCACTTAAACAACTAGTCTCGTTTTGGCCATCACTGGGAAATGTTGACTAGTTACTTATTTTAGATGACTTGTGTTGGGTCCTAAAATATTTATCCACAACTTCTCACAATCTATCTACGAATAAAATTAGCAATTATTTCTTTCAATTAAACATTGAACAATTAGTTACCAATTTCTACCCCTACTTACTATTGGTTGAACTTTGTGTTGATAAAAATCTCTCATCTCAATCACTTTTATTTTATTACTTTTTCAAGCAAACCAAAAAATCAAAAGAAACGCACTCCCAACTTTAATCCTTAGTTTGTGCTTAATTATTTTATTTCCCGCTTCTCTGTGGTTCGACACCCTACTTCCTTGGGTAAAAAATAGTTGTGTGCCCATTATATGCTACACACCAACTTGGCGCCGTTGCCGGGGAAGCGGTTTTGAAAAAAAAAAAGGGCATGAACTTTTGGTTTTAGTTATTGTAAATTGTGTGTATATTATTTTGTTTTTATCTTGTTTGCTTTTGCAGGTTCAAAAAAAAAATGCAAAAAAAAAGTGATTAATTAAAGTTCAAAAAAAAAAAAAAAAAAAAAATTGAACTGTGATTAATTACCTTACCTGAGCATTGGAGTTGGACTTGTTGACTGAACATATATCTGGACATTTGGACCATTGGACATATTGTCACATTTTAATTCAACGGATAATCCGCCTATATGGTCGGACCGCTAATTTGTACATATTAATTCAACGGATAATCCGCCTATATGGTCGGACCGTTTACTTGTACATAATAATTTAAAGGATACTCCGCCTATATGGTCGGACCAACTCTTTAATTTCTGCACTTTAATTATCGCACTTTAATTTCTGCACTTTAATTATCGCACTTTAATTTCAGCAATTTAATTTCTGCATTTTTTTTTTTTGCATCCCCAAGCTTGTCGGCCGTGTCCGCTTGTTGGTGGCGTGCACTTTTTATTTTATTTCTTAATAATCCCCAGACTGTCGGCACAACTGCATCTTGGTGGAGACTGTATTTATTACTGTAGTTATTTTTTTTCTTCTTCTCAAATCACCATATCTGTCGGCCCTGCCGCATCCTGGTAAATTACTGTATATATTAATACTGCTTTAAGGGCTCACTAGTCTTATTCGGTTCATACCAATTGACTAAGTGCGAACCTTAATTAATTAATTAATTCCGCAATTTTTTTTCTTTTCATCTCTCTCTTTCTCTCTTTTCCCAATCCCGATTCCCTTCTGCTTATGCTTACACGTTCACGTGGTGCAAATTGTGAATTGTTATTCTTCTCTGACATTGAAAAGCACATACGTGAACAGAAAAAAATAAAAAAAATGTCAAACGATGTTGTTGTAAATGAGCAGGAACCAGATCAACAAATCGTGGATCAGGTTACAAGGACCAGGAAAGCGTTGTATGATTATGTTACGCCTCCCGTGGATGAGCATGACAGTGTTATTCCACCGGAGGTTAACATGAACCAATTTGAAATCAAGCCTGCTATCATCCACATGGTTTCAAATGATCGATTTGGCGGAGCGCCAACGGAGGATCCAAATAATCACATCACAAAGTTCCTTCGAGCTTGCAACACCTTCAAAATCAATGGTGTGCCATCTGATGCTGTCAGACTACGCCTATTCCCATTCTCTCTACGGGATCGAGCTCAGAGTTGGCTTGACTCTTTTCCAGACAATCACTTCTCCACTTGGGATCAACTTCATGGTGAATTTCTCAAAAGATTTTTTCCGCCATCTAAAACGGCGAAAATCCGGAGAATGATTCAAAATTTCAAACAAAATCCCAATGAGCCCCTCTATGAGGCTTGGGAAAGATTCAAAGATCTTCAGCGACAATGTCCACATCACAACATCCAAAACTGGCACTTGATGACGGCTTTCTATGAAGGCCTAAGTGAAAATTCTCGGATACTTGTGGACGCGTCCGCAAATGGATCATTCATGTGCCTAGAACTTGAAGAGGCAGAAGAATTGATGGAACGCATTTCATCAAATGGATCAACATGGTATTCTGAGCGATCATCTGCTCCACCAAAAATCGGAGGCATGTACGAAGTTGATCATATGTCGGCCATAACCACAAAGGTCGATAACATTATGACTTTGATCCAAAAGATGGCACAGGTCTCTCTTGTGCAAAACTCTGCATCAACTCCAACTCCCGTTCCCGTTCTTATGTGTGAATCTTGTGGTGGACAACACAATCAGTCCACTTGTCCATGGGAATCAATGGAACAGGTTGACTATGTCAACTACAACCGGCAGCCCCAACAAAATCAGTTTGGTAATTTCAATCCTCAAGGAAGAAACCATCCCGGTTTTTCCTGGAGCAATCAAAATGGAGCTGCTAATCCACAACAAACTTACCGAAGTGCACCACCCGGTTTCCAAAATCAACAACAGCAATTCAGAGGTGGACAAGGTGTTGTGAACCAACAACAATACAAACCCACTCAAAATCTTCCATACCCTTCAAATCAACAACAAAAACCACTTCTACCCACTCCGGAAACAGCCCAAACTCCTGTCCTAGAAAACATTGTTGACCAACTTCTTAAGTCCCAATTATCTCAAGCCGAAACCCTGAAACAAATCACCGAAGAACTTGGTCAACTTCGGGCTCACAACAGGATGCTTGAGAATCAAATTGCTAATCAAGCATCCACATCATCGACTAAGGTGACGGGTAAGCTCCCTGCTTGCCCCGAAAACCCGAGGGAGCAAATCAATGTTGTCACTACTCGGAGTGGGAAACAACATCAATCCTTGCCCCTTTCTAATGATGAACAAGAACATGAAATGTTGGAGGAAGGGATCGTGCAACAACAGAAATGTGGAAACAATAACAATGAACATGATGTCGGTACCATGCCGAAATCAACTGATGACCATGAAGGATCAAAGACACAAAGAGAAAGTCCGGTAAGGAAATACATTCCCCCAGTTCCTTATCCGAACAGATTGAAGAAAGCCAATATGGAGGAGCGGAGAACAAAATTTTTGAATGTTATCAAGCAATTGGATATCTCAATTCCTTTGCTTGATGCCATTACAGAAATTCCTTCATATGCTAAATTTCTCAAAGATATTCTCACAAAGAAGAAGGAGAATCCGGCCACTGTTGCAATGAGTCAAGAATGCAGTGCCATCATCCAAAATAAGATCACACCCAAATTATGTGATCCTGGAAGCTTCTCAATTCCATGTACCATTGGTGGATCTAAAGTTAACAAAGCTCTTTGTGATCTTGGTGCAAGTGTTAGCTTAATTCCTTATTCATTATGTCAAAAGCTACACTTGGGGGATCCCAAACCAACAACGATGGCATTACAATTGGCTGATCGATCTGTCAAATATCCTATCGGCATTCTTGAAGATGTTCCTGTCAAAATTGACAAGTATTATATCCCAGGAGACTTTGTTGTCTTGGATATGGAAGAAGATGCCCGAGTTCCTGTTATTCTAGGGAGACCTTTTCTAGCTACAGCAGGGGCTATTATCAATGTAAAAAAGGGTACCCTTATCCTTGAGATTGGGGACGATAAGATCGAATTCAATGTACGAGAGCTGAGTAAGGATACACCTTGTGTCCTTGATGGTTACTATGCTGATGTTATAGACTCTTGTACTACAAATACATTTGATGAGTCTTATTGGCTTTCTAAAGATCCAATGGAGTACACCATACGAGAATCTATTGCAGATGAGCAAGCCAATGAAATGGTAAATTTATGCCTCGAAATGTTGCAAAGCATATCTTTACCGATGCCTAAAGCACTTAAATTTGAAGTGCTTAATCTTGAAGATCAATCCTTGAATGTCAAAGGAAAAGCACCTGAAGTAGAACTCAAACCACTTCCATCTACTTTGAAATATGCTTTTCTTGGTCCGGATTCCACTTATCCTGTCATTGTGAATTCTGATTTGGATCTTCAACAAGTGGAAAGATTATTGCAAGTCTTACGAAGCCATCGAAGAGTTATTGGCTACACCATCGATGATATTGTTGGCATAAAGGCATCTTACTGCATGCACCGCATTTACTTGGAGGATGATCACAAGCCGAGCATTGAGCACCAAAGGCGTCTCAACCCGAACATGAAAGATGTTGTTAAAAAAGAAATTCTGAAATTGTTGAGTTCGGGTATCATTTTTCCCATTTCGGACAGCAAATGGGTAAGTCCTATCCACGTGGTGCCAAAGAAAGGAGGAATTACTGTTGTGAAGAATGACAAAAATGAACTGATTCCTACCCGAATAGTCACTGGTTGGCGCATGTGCATTGACTACCGCAAACTCAACAAGGCAACTCGAAAAGATCATTTTCCACTTCCTTTTATTGATCAATTGCTGGAGAGGATGGCTAAGCACAAGTATTTCTGTTTTCTTGACGGATTCTCTGGATTCTTCCAAATCCCAATTCATCCGGATGATCAAGAAATGACAACATTTACATGTCCTTATGGTACTTTTGCATATCGCAGAATGCCATTTGGATTATGTAATGCACCTGGAACCTTTCAACGATGTATGCTAGCTATTTTCTCGGATCTTGTCGAGGAAATTATGGAAGTTTTTATGGATGACTTCTCGGTTTACGGGATTTCATTTGATGATTGTCTTGAAAATCTTGAAAAAGTGCTGAGCAAATGTGAAGAAGCAAACCTTATCCTCAACTGGGAAAAATGTCATTTTATGGCAACCGAAGGCATTGTGCTTGGGCACAAAATTTCTGAAAAAGGCATCGAAGTAGACCCAGCAAAAATAGAAGTCATTGAAAAATTGCCTCCCCCTTCTTCCATCAAGGGGATTCGCAGTTTTCTTGGCCATGCGGGATTTTATCGACGGTTTATCAAAGATTTTTCAAAAATATCAAAGCCCTTAACCAATCTTCTCTCAAAAGATGTGGAGTTTAATTTTGATGAATCTTGCTGCACCGCATTTTCAAAGCTCAAGTTGGCCTTAACTACTGCACCAATTATAAGGCCACCTGATTGGAATCTTCCATTTGAGCTCATGTGTGATGCGAGCGATTTTGCCGTGGGAGCCATTCTGGGTCAACGCAAAGGCAAAGAAATCTATGCCATTTATTATGCAAGCCATACTCTTGATGATGCCCAATCAAATTATGCCACAACTGAAAAAGAGTTTCTTGCCATAATCTTTGCCATTGAAAAATTCCGATCTTATCTTATCGGAAGCAAGATTATTGTATATACCGATCATGCGGCTATCAAATACCTCATCAATAAAAAAGATGCAAAACCGAGGTTGCTGCGGTGGATCTTGTTACTACAAGAGTTTGACATGGAAATCCGTGATAGAAAAGGATCTGAAAATGTTGTTGCCGATCATTTATCTCGTCTTGAGATTCCGTGTGATATCAAAATGCCAATCAATGATTATTTCATCGGGGAACAACTCATGTCTGCTCAAATTTTTGATCCATGGTTTGCCGATATTGCAAATTACCTTTCTCATGGGGTAATTCCACATGGGGCTACACATGCTGAAAAGAAGAAGTTAAAATATGACTCCCGTTACTACCATTGGGCAGAACCTTTTCTCTATAGAAGGTGTGCCGATGGTGTCATTCGACGGTGTTTGCCCGAAGATGAAGTTTCAAATGTCTTGCATCATTGCCATTCCTCAGCATATGGGGGACATCATGGAAGCTCTCGTACTGCTGCAAAGATTTTACAATCGGGTTTCTTTTGGCCCACTCTTTTCAAAGATGCAAGCAAATTTGTGAAAAACTGTGATCGTTGCCAGCGTACCGGCAATATTGGAAGAAAGAATGAAATGCCCCAGCATGGCATACTTGAAGTCGAATTGTTCGACGTGTGGGGGCTTGATTTTATGGGGCCATTTCCTAAATCAAATGGGAAAGAGTTCATCCTTGTAGCTGTTGATTATGTTTCTAAATGGGTAGAAGCAGCTGCCACACCGACTAATGATGCCAAAGTGGTGATCCAATTTATTCAGAAGAATATTTTCTCCCGATTCGGAGTTCCAAGATCTTTCATCACTGACAATGGTACTCATTTTTGTAACAAGGCATTGGAACGTGTCCTTTCCAAATATGGGATTCATCACCGACTCTCAACTCCATATCACCCGCAAACAAATGGCCAGGTGGAACTTTCAAACCGAGAAATCAAATCAATTCTCGAGAAAGTTGTTAATCCTTCCCGAAAGGATTGGGCCGGCAAGCTTGATGATGCACTATGGGCATACCGCACTGCCTATAAAAATCCCATTGGAACCTCACCATTCAAATTGGTGTATGGGAAAGCATGTCATCTTCCTGTTGAGGTTGAACACAAAGCATATTGGGCAATCATGACACTCAACATGGATCTTGCATTGGCGGGTGAGAAACGACTGTTGCAGCTAAATGAACTTGAAGAATTCAGACTTGCAGCTTATGATAGCTCAAAAATTTACAAGGAGAGAACAAAAGTTTTGCATGACCAGGTGATCAGCCGGAGAAAATTTGAACAGGGAGATAAAGTTCTTCTTTTTAACTCACGTTACAAATTCTTCCCCGGAAAACTAAAAACCCGATGGTTGGGTCCATTTGAAGTACTTGAAGCATTCCCATCCGGAGCAGTTCAGTTGTTAAACAAAAGCGGACAGAAACTCATGGTAAATGGACAACGATTGAAATTATATCATGATGGTGAGAAACAAGAGGCAACTTCTGTGTATTGCCTCATTGATCCAGAATATGAATGAAAGGCATGGGTCAAGCTAATGACCTTAAACGAGCGCTTCTTGGGAGGCAACCCAAGTTTGTAAATTTCTCAAAAAAAAAAAACAAAAAAAAAAGTCAAAAAAAAGAAAGACAAAAAAAGATTAGTCTAGGTTTTCTTTATTTCTTTGGACTCTAAAGGGGCCACATCTGCTCAAAGGGATCTCCAAACGTCATGCGGATAAACAATTCCAGATTCGGCCGCGCTTCAGGGAAGTTTTCTTTACACTCCTTTAATCTCTTTTCCACTGAGGACAGTGCAAATTTTAAGTGTGGGGGAGTGGGTAGTTCGACCCTGATTTCTTGTGTGAATATTTTTTTTCCTTGTGTGCTTATGTGATTTTGTTTTATTTTTATTTTGTGTGTTTTCTTGTGAATAAAGACCATTCTTGTCCAAAATGCAACAATAGACCAACAACACATTAGTTTACACTTTTTGTTACTAGTTACCTCCATAACTTTTTAAATTATTCATTCACCTCTTTTGATGAAATGTGGTTTGAGTTTGAGAAGTGTCACTGTAATTTTTTGAGAGTAACTTAGTATGAGCTTTGAACTTGATTCTTTTTCACAATTTAACATTAAACACCTTAGATTTTATTTTTCCAATTTATTGGTTTAATAGTTGAATTAGTGAAAGTTTATGCAGTTTAAGATGTTTATACATTTATTCTCCTTGAAATTTAATTTGAACTTGACACATTAGAAATGATTTAGGCCATCTTTGTTTACCCATGAAGCCAAACACTATCCCTTTGTAAACAAATAACACTTTCCCTAGTAACCCTGTTTGAGCCTTTTCAGTGTACAAGTGTAAAATAACTTACTTCACTTGTTACTAATTTTTCTTGTGACCTTGTAAATACATAACCTTGTGAAATCCTACCCAAGTCATTTTTGTTTCAACCCTAGAGTAGTTTGTATTGTTACTTGAGAGTGGATAAAATGGAGCTTCTGTTAAGTGTCATATTAGTGATGTACATATTTGTTTGTAAATTTTGGGGTTAGTTTTTCATTGTAATATTTAGTGTGTGCCTTCTTAAAAAAAAAGTTCAAAAAAAGAAAAGAAAAAAAAAGTAAAAAAAAAAACAAAAAAAAAAACAAAAACAAAGAGGCACATTAATTTCTTGTTGTGATTTCTTCTGTAAAACCCCATTTTTACTTCTTTTTCATGCTTATATTTCTCATTGTTTTGTATGCTCCAAGTTCTTGTAAATTCATGTGATTATCCGCTCAGTATAAGTGCAATCTAACTCTCTTTGTAAATCCCTACACCAAACCTTTCTTTCCACTATCCACATCATTAACCTTGCCAAAACCCGAAAAGTCCTAATTGATCTATTTGTGTCATTTTTTTAATTAAGTTAATTGGAGAAACTTGTTCTGCATAACCCGAACTAATTCAGATCTATAGGTGTTTGTGTTAAAAGTTTGATTTGAAAATCTTAATGATAGGCAATAATACTCTGTTTACTCTCATTGAGTTATTTTGTGACATTTCAGGGTATTGGACCGTTTAGTGGACATTAGAGGTGTATGTGTAATTTGTTTAGTTATGTTTGTAAATTTTACCAAATTGTGTATATTTTTGTGTTTGTTGTTTATTTTGCTTGAGGACAAGCAAAAGCCTAAGTGTGGGGGATTTGATGTGCTTGTATTTTACACACTTTTTAGGCTTAGTTTGTTAATAATTTTGGTCACTTAATTTGTATATTTGTACATATTTTTATTATTTATCGTTACTTTGTACGATATGTAGTTCTATGCATGTATTTTGTATTTTCAGGTACTTTTGATACTATTTGATACATTTGTGTGTGAAGAGAAGAAGAAAATGAAAGTTCCAGTTAAAAGTAGAATTTCAAGCAAATGAGTAAATTGAAGAAAAGAGGCAAAAAGTGAAAGAAATAACATGGAGCAAGGGTTCGATCCTTGGTCACTTGGAAAAGGAAGGGCAAGCTCAACCAATGAGCTAAATGTCAAAGTTGCAAAGGTTTAGCTGGAGCTTATTTTAACTCCTTTCAACTGCAGCAAGAAAAGACGAAAAAAAAACGTCAATAGATGGGTTCGAACACGGGACCTCAGAGTCCTAGAAGCATTCCTCTTCCACTGCGCTGCTACAGATTATTGATACTTGGACGCGTTTTCTTGTACATATACTCTTCGGTTCCGTAAATTCCAACAATTAATGATTAATCACCTTATCATTATATTGCCTTAATCCATCCCCCTCCACACATAATCTCGAGCCAACTTCTCTCTACACCTCCCAGAATCATTTCCTCCTCCTTCTCTCTTCATTCTTCATCTCCAAATCATCAACCAATCTTCAACATCAATTAATCACTTTCTCAATCAAGATTAAAGTCAAGATTAGCACCAAGCTCCAAGGATTGTCATCTATCACAAGTTTGATCTTCCTTATCTCTTTAAATCTTGTACTTCAATCATGAATTCATCTATTTCTAAGCTTCCCAACATGTATAGCTAAATAAATTTGGGGCTAGAAATTGGTTAATTAATTGTTCTTATCATGTTTTAATTTGTATTGATTTTAATTGTTAAGTTTGTTCTATTTAGATTGTTGTGTCCAGAAAATTAATTATGTTATGTTTGTGATATATATTATGAGTACTCAATCATAAACATATTGTTTGTTAAATACACAAATGAACACTTTCTGAACACACCGTTAAACTTCTTTTACCTTGTCCCGGATTGAAGTTTTACGGGAGAATTTAATTATTTAATTATATTATTTACACCACGGGGTTGGGTAAATAATATAGTTAATAATTAAGGTTGTCGTTGCACTTAAACAACTAGTCTCGTTTTGGCCATCACTGGGAAATGTTGACTAGTTACTTATTTTAGATGACTTGTGTTGGGTCCTAAAATATTTATCCACAACTTCTCACAATCTATCTACGAATAAAATTAGCAATTATTTCTTTCAATTAAACATTGAACAATTAGTTACCAATTTCTACCCCTACTTACTATTGGTTGAACTTTGTGTTGATAAAAATCTCTCATCTCAATCACTTTTATTTTATTACTTTTTCAAGCAAACCAAAAAATCAAAAGAAACGCACTCCCAACTTTAATCCTTAGTTTGTGCTTAATTATTTTATTTCCCGCTTCTCTGTGGTTCGACACCCTACTTCCTTGGGTAAAAAATAGTTGTGTGCCATTATATGCTACACACCAACCATACATATCCGTTCGGTTATGTTTGACCTCGGATTCCTAGTTCGTGTGCCAGTTCAGCTTTTTTTTTTTGTGATAATATTTCAACATCATATTTGATTGCCAACCCTGTTCAGCATATCCAGATTGGTTACCACTTTGTTCGTGAGAGAGTTGCTCATGGTGATTTAATAGTTAAATATGATCCTACTCATCTTCATCCAACTGATATTTTTACAAATTCTTTTTAATCAGCAATTTCACTTTTTGAAGGACAACTTGTGCGTTGTATCTCCCACACAATTTGATGGGTGTAATAGTTCATATAAATTAGGAATCCTTATGTATTTTGGCAGCTACTCTTTATTATAAACATATCCAGCAGGATTCTCGGTAGGGTAGCCCGTTCCATTTATTCACATTAGGATCTCTGTATTAAGAAGGGTGTCCTGATTAAGTGATTTTTATGTACGAATTAGTTTATTTTGTGTGATGAATAAATAATTTGAAATGAGTAAAATAATTAATTAAAAGTTATTTAGGGTCTCTTGTTAATGTTTACCGGGAAGGCGAGCTCACCTGGTAGGAAAAGGGCGCCAAAATAACTTTTAATAATAATAGTAATAGCAATAATAATAATAGTAAGAATAATAATAGTAATAATAATAATAATAATAATAATAATAATAATAATAATAATAATAATAATAATAATAATAATAATAATAATAATAATAATAATAATAATAATAATAATAATAGTAAATCCGGATTCAGATTAGAATATACCAGATAAAAATGATTCAGATCAAATCAGATAAGAAAAATTCAAATCAAAATAGATCAAACCTTGAGAAATTCAGATGAGAAAAATTCAAATCAAATGAACAGAACATCTTCTTACTGACCCCGGATCACGAGAAGATCAATTAAAGTAGTCAAAATAATGAATTATAGGGAATCTTGGATTGACAAGCCAAGTCAACAGGATGAACTTAAAATGAAGTGTCTTCTTCACTTCAACGGGAAGACTAGTACCAGTATAAAAGATACACAATAGGGACTTTTGTGTGGACTTTTGTTCCACACAATAAGGATTCTTTGTTGATGAAAAGATTTGTTTTGATACGTGATTTGATTATCTCTAAATTTCTTTCTCTTAATGAGACATTAGATTATCTTGACAAGATATCTTTTGAGGGGAGATTATCTTCATCTAAGGTGTATGAGCTATTGAGGATTGAGGGCACTCTGCACTCCTGGATGCCCCTCATATGGAAGCCATATATACCCCTCCAAGTTTTCCTTCATCACATGGATAGCCTTTCGTAATAGATTAGCCATGTATGATAATTTGGGGTACATTAACTTGATTAACATATGTCCTTTTTGTAAGGGTGGTCCGGAAACGGTACCACACATATACTTTGAATGTCATATTATAGGACATGTGTGGACAAGGATCAAGACATGACTAGGAATTACGAGGCAAATGACCACGTTGAGGAGCACAGTGAAATGGATAAAGGATTATAATGGTGCACACATTAAGGCCAAAGCCGTGAGATTCTCTTTTTGCTACACGGTTTATTGGATGTGGAGATCAAGAAATACCATTCTTTTTTATGCCGCCAAGGTTACTACCGAAGATATGGTCACTCATATCAGATCAAGTATATGGTGTACAAAGTGCTTTATTCTATGTATTCATAACATAGATGATAACTTTCTGAGTGTGTTTGCTAATTTGTCACCTATTTTTGTGATGGCTTGCATGTATTATGTGGCTAGATTGCTAGCCATCTAGTTTGGTTTTTAGAGGTGATAGGGGATCCTAGCTTAGGATGTCTATGGTTGTTTTGATTTTTGTATATGATGTACATAAACATTCTTTGGATGGTTCTATATATATTTACATTTCATCCAAAAAAAAGACGCACTTTGGAAAAAGGATGAACCACGAACCTTGAGCTACACGTTCGAAAACTATGAGAACATCAACGTCATTCAAACGCAAGAATCCAGATGAGAGATTGGAAGAATGTTATTTCATATCTTCAAACCAAACTGCCAACTAAGTTCGTCCTAAATCCTTCAAAAACTCTGAAATCTTCATCTACTCATCTCACCATCAGAGAAGTTGGAGGAAATCTTTGTCTTAACAAAGGAATACTTATTGTAAGTGAAGGGACGAGAAAACAGCTAGAGTGAAGTGAGGATACTCTTAGGAGTCTAGTGAAAAGGCTAGTCATCAAGGAAGCTGTGTGCAACCTCGGGTGACAAGGACACTACTATTGAAGAAGACGTGGAGAACTTATTAGGAGATATGAAAAAGCTTGTAAATGTACATTACTTGGAGCTTAGTGGAAAGTGGAGTAGAGGAACATGTTGTTGCTTGAAGAATCCCTAGTGTCATTTACTTTACACACTTTACATTTCTTTGCACTAGGTATGCAACTCTCAAATAGTGTGAACTCTTTCCTTCAACATATTTCACTCAAGAGACTTAGAAGGCAAATATGTCTTGGAGTGTTTCCGGATTTCCTTAGTCTGATAGAATCTATCCTTAAGAAGAGAAATCTAAAACAATCTAGTCACTCCTCATTACACGGTTTATCAATATATTTAACTGGGACCAATAACTTTATATGAGTGAATTGTTTCAAGGATCTGCAATAATTCAACACACATATTAGCTTCATTATTTATAATTATGAAAAAGTATCATTAACACAAGTGAACTAACATTGCAATGCGTTTATTGGTAACATTTCTATCTATTATTTTAAAGATTTATAATCATCTATTTGATCGAATGGAATTCAAATGAACTGAAACCGATTAAAATAGATGATAATACTAATAACAATGAGTAACAATGAGAGCTTTAAAGATTAAAACTCTGCGACATTCTAGTATGCACATTCTAGCTAGGGCAATTGTTTCCTAATGGAATTAGGGGTGAGGGGACTTTTGGATTATGTGATTATCTCGTTGGTCTTCTCGAACTCATCCATAAGTGCTCGTCAAGAACCGAAAATGAGTGTTAGTCCGCTTGGCCTTAAAGGTGAAGCTCGGCCGAGGGTGGAGTGGGCTCCTCGGTGATTGCCAGGTCTCGAATACAATCCTTGGCCTCAGGGGCGGAGCCAGAGCATTCGGCCGGGCTGGGCCGGTACAAAGAATATTTTTAGAAAAAAATTTACACGAAATTTTTTACTTAAGACATTTTTAAAATTTGGGGTAGGCCATGGCCTAGGTTGGCCCACCCCTAGCTCCACCCATGCTTGGCCTTGGCAGTTGGCTGAGAGCTTCGTCCTTTAATTTGTATTAGCAGCAACCATTGGGATTCTCATATTGGACTATGTTGTAAGAACCGGATCGGGAGGTGATCCAGAGAATTTACCGGGTCGGAGGTCAACATGGACCCGAATGGTCAACCCAGTCAATGGGAAGACAACTCAGTCAAAGTCGGCTAACAATAAAACATAAAAATTTATAATAATATTTCAGATGATTAATGTAAGGTTAAAACTGTTCTCATTCATAAGATCGAAGCGGTTATAAAATATAAAACAATAATAGTGTATTAAAATATAAAGGTTTCCACAAAATCCAAAATGAGCTTGAAATTATATGCCATTATATAAATATAATACTTATATAAAATTTTACAAAACAGTATAAATATATTTGAGATATATTTTGAATATTGTATTAATAACTCAACGGAACTCTATTTATAACAATGGCCATAATTATTTTATTTACAAAAAAATTAGTACGTCTTAATTATTACCATCACTTAATAATTAGTATTTACTAAGGATGTTTTTACTTGGATTGTAATTTGATGGTATGGTTTGGTCTGATCTGATCTGGTCTCTTTGTATTTTTATAACTATCTAAGTCTGTTCTGATCTGGTCTAGTGGAGTCTGAGAGATTATGGTCTAATGTGGTCTGAGAGATTATAGTCGAAATAAAAACATCCTAAACCCACAAGCAATTAGACTAACGCAATACGCATTTAAAACGAACAAGATGGAGCAGCTCAATCGATTTGCAATGGATAGTTGGATACGCATGTATCTTGTCTTCGAATCCTCGCCACCACTTGCATTTTAATGTAATATTTCTCTGTCGCTTTCAAGCCCGTGCGATGCACGGGCAGTATATAATTTAACTAATTTGAAATTTGATTTCTTTTAGATATATGTAATGGGATTTAAAAGAAAAATATATTTAGTCTAATATAGAACCTATTTGATAATAATAAATTAAATCGAGTTAACTTATTTTACTGAAATTGATTAAATTATGACTGAATAGGCTGAATGGGTAGAATCTCTTGAATCATAAAAAAAAAATTAAAATATATTCTATTTGTGAATCCAAAAGAGATTATATGAAAAATAGTTAAATGGATCTTCTACATAAGAATCTCAAGTAAATATAATTGTTATGAACCCGCCGATTTTAAAGAATTAAAATCAATCAAATTAATAAAATTCTATTAAAATAAAAGTAGGAATTTGTAAACATATAAAGATTTTCTAATTTGGAGTAGGAATCTATTTCAAAAGTGAAGACACATTTAAATTGTAGTTGTAAAATAAAGAAATAATCAAACATATTTACTTTTTGGCTAGGGCTAAACGTATTTACTTGTGAAAATATACATACATGTATGTATTTATGTATGATATCAATTTTCATCCTTAATAAATAAGGTAAGCTACTTGATCAGAAATATTCTTTTTAGATTCTATATTAGAATATCTAATAGTTTTAATTTCGTTTTTAAATTTCAATTATATGGTGGTTACAATTTTATCATTATTTTAATAATTAAGAAAGAATTGTATGAAGATGGAGCAAAATGCGAGGTATTAACACAATTGCAAATTTGGGGCTTAGAATTTTAATCATTCTCTTTCGAAAAAAGAATTTTAATCATTATCTCAACATTGAGTTTAGAAAAATAAAATATTACTCCGTACATTTTAGGAAATAGGACACTATTATTACATTTGTTGAGGTTTATTCCTTCAACCCGTGGACCCAACACGTAAGTCCAAAGGTTTCGAATGGAGTGAGAGTATGGTTATCTAGCCCAACAACTATTAGATGAATCAGGAAACAAGAGTAATAGCAGGCAATGTAAATAGGTATTATTAACTTCGTAATAACTCCCCTAAGTACAATCTACTTGCTAACAAAGGCACATCGGCCGTTCGTCTTACAAGGCAGTTAGAAATGCTGCGAGTAAGAATGCTGAAGCTAGTATGCTAAGAATAGAAAGTTGCCAACCCTTTACAATGGAATAAATGCTTCTATTTATACCCGCCAATGGGCAGGTGGCTGTAGTGATGTGGCAGCCTGTGGACCGCTGGTGTCCCAACTACCAAATCTTTAGCATTAAATGCACTTCCCGCCAGAATCTAGGTTTCCCGCCGGATTAGTGGGGACGTTCGTCCACCGGGAAGTGAGTTGGATTGCTCCAAGGGACCCTTGGGAGATATCGGCTGTTCGTCTCCTGGCCTTGGTGGATACTCACCATGTGGACTGGGTTTTCTCCGATGACTACAGGCTTGCTCTGGGGACGTTCGTCGTCATTCCTGGTGGCCCGTGGTTCTGCTCCTTGTCCCTGCATAGACGTTCGTCGGGATGAGCTGCTGGGCCTGAGTCCTCCAACACTAGACGTTCGTCCATCCCCGTGGAACATGGGCCTGTGGGCTGGCCTAGTGTTCTAACTGGACGTTCGTCTAGCAAAATGGGTTAGTGGGCCGAACCTCGGCTTGGGCCCTTAACCCAACACAAGTCCCCCACTTCTGATGTTCTGAGCATGCGCAGGACATAAGGAAGTATGAACCTCTCCGAAGTAGACGTCCGTATCTTGGTACTTGTGTTTATTGCACCTGGTGGAAGCATACGTTCGTGGTCATGGTGCTTGACAGCTGTTGACGGTTCAGGGAACGAGGTGACGGCTGATGTTGCGGCGGCGCATTTTCCCGAGGAAGCGTCATCATTACGTTCCCATCCCACGCTCAGCGCGTGGGCCGGAATACGCTCCTCGCCACGTGTCATCCCCTCGTTGGTTTCTCCATCGGTGTCTCTCCTATAAATGCCGGGTTTCTCCTCTGACTTAGGGTTCCCAATTTCTGCTTTCTTGCTCTCAATTTTCCGCAGCTCTTCAAGTTTCCCGAATTCGGCCAACCATACCTTTGTAAGGTAATTTCCCCCCTCTGCTTCTTTTCCTTACTCTGATTTCTAGCCGAAATGACTTCGATGGAGATTTCCTCAAGTTCTGATTCCAGTTCATCGGGTTCCTCCTCGGGCTCCTCTTCTGACAATGCGAATGCACGCTCCCTGGGAAAAACTAGTGTCTCCGGAACCTCGGGTTCGGCCACGACCGTGGGGACCATCCGGGCTGATGGCGAGCCGGATGACGTGTCCCAAGATAGCGGGAGCGACGCCGGGGGCGGGGGCGCTGACGGGGCAGTAGATGTTATTGACGCAGTCCCCCTGAATGAGCGTCCTGCTGATTATGATTCCGGTGAGGAGGCCGAATCTGGTTCTGATGTGGAGGTGTATGATCTGGGCATCCCCACGGATAGGGAGCGCCACATTTGCCCGATCAGGAGTGCACTTGACCATGACCAAGTCCTCTCCCGCGTGGCCCTCAATAAAATCCGTACCTTCCTTCCCCCGCCGTTCGTCTGGAGTGTGAGAGGTGCTGAGCATGTGATGAGGAGACGTCCGGGGATGATCATGCTTCACCTGGACTCCGTTGAAGCCGGGCTGCGGTTCCCACTGCACGCGTTCTATGTGGAGTTCTTCCACTGCTTCCAGGTGGCCCCGGCGCAATTCATGCCAAATTCTTACAGATTCATATCGGCATTCTTGGTGCGCTGCAAACTTGCGGGGGTCGATGCCACCCTGGAGCTCTTCCATTATTTCTACCGCGTCACTCCTCAGAACGCCGACGGGTATCTGAGCGTGGCCGCACGTCCTGGGAGGCGGCTGTTCAAGAACTACCCTTCGTCCATCCACGACTGGAAGAACCGTTTTTTCTTCCTTCGATACGACGGGCCTCCTCTCCCTCTCCGGTGGAATGGGTACCCCCCAAAGATTGAGTCACCGGAGCCGTCCGACGATCTGCTTCTGGATGCGGAGAAGGTTTTGGAGGGTGGCGTCCGTCCTATAGCCGGATTTCTGACCTTCGAGGCACTCTCTGGGGCAGGCATAGGTACCGTCCGTGTCCCTGGACTTTTTCTACCCTCCGACGCTCGTCTCGGGGCACCGGGCGGTCCTGTCCTTCGAGGTGAGTGTCTTATTCTATTCCCCGCTCGTCTCCTAATCCTTTGTTATTTTTTGCAGGTCCTCCGCCAGACAGAGATCAAATGAATCACGCCGAGTGCCTGAAGACCAGGAAGGCCAAAGCGGCCGCTGCTAAAGCTGCGATGGA